CCATACACACACCCGCACCCAGGTAACCCAGGCTTGGAATTTCTGGGTCAAGTCAGGAATGTGAACCCTAACATGAAAATCAGAACAATACAAAGAGCCCTTGGCTGTATGCTAGGAGGTACAGTTCTTATCCCTGTAACATTGACCTTTTGATTTGAATAAGAAAAAACCATCCAGCTCTCAATTTTTCTCACTTGTGGAATGAGAACACTGGACAAAATGATTTTGGAAATCCCTTAAGATTCTATGATTTTATAACAATTTTCAAGTTATTAATTTTATTATATCTTATTTTAATAATATATTTTTATTTTATTATTTTATTTCTGATAGTAATTCCATTTTACATGAGCTTGCTTCTTTCATTAGCACCACAATGTAAATCTTCTACATTGACATTAAAATTTTGAGAATTTCTTAAAGTTGAAAGAAGTGGCTATTATATGATATGCAACTTATACTATTTTCTAGAGACCTACTATTTAAAATTCTCCCTAGCAGTTACATTTCCTGCTCCAGTGGCTGAAACTTCCTACTGACCAATCATGTAATTATGTGAAGAGTAGGATTCTCAGAAAGTATAGAATTTTACTTTTTTAAATGCCATGAATATGAATTCTCCCATTACAACTTTTGTGGAAATGCAAAGCAAAATCCAATTAATAAAATTCTAGATAGTAGAGTTTTACAACTGTTTGTCTCTTGCATTAGGTTTGCATATAAGCCTTTTTTGAACTTGTGCTTATAAATGCAGCAGAAGATAAGAATATGTTTGTGTAGTTCTTTAGTTTGCATTTGAAGATTTTAAATATTATTTCTAATAATTTTTGAAATATTTTATTATTTGAAGATTCTATGAAGACATAGCATAGCATTTAGTCTGTTTTTTTCAGTATGCAATATTTAAAGTGAAGAAGTCCAATTTTGAAACCTAGTTTTTTTTGTTCTTCTTATGCCCTATTCTTAAAATTGTTAGGATGGATTCAGTTCTCCATTATTCTGCTCTGGGACCTCAGGTGAAATATTTGTATTATCTGATAATATTTCTTTATTGATAAGATGGAAATAAATAGTAAGAATAACTTCATAGAAATGATGAGATTAAGCTTACATTCTTGATAAATTACCTAAAATACAAGTATTATATGTCTATATATAGATGTGCTCAATGAAATAATTATTATTACAGAATCAATGCCTTACTACCAATTGTAAATGCAAAAGAGCAACACATCAATAAATTTGACAGTTTTTAGAGTCTTACAATACTAAGGTAAAAATAAATTTAAGACATTTTCTAGTCAAATCCCTTCCTTTTATAGATGAAACTATGTTCTGTAAAGATTAAATGGCTTATAAAAGATAATTCCTGACAAGACAATATGATTTAGTTCTCTTTAATGTATGTGTCATACTCTACTTCTAAGTGGCCTAGAGATAGTTCCCAGCAAAGGGGATAGGCATGTTTGAGAGAAATAAAATTGGATTGCTTTGACATTGATTCTGATCATCTTCTCCATTAGCCCTAATTACCTGGGTACAGAATTTTAATGGGCGACATTAGAAATAATGTTTTCTGGAATTCAATAAAGTACCATGTATCATGGTTTTTACTAGCTATTGCATCATATATATTTCTTAAAATTGTTTTCTTATTACCACTGAAGCATGATTAATTCAAATTCAAATAATGTCTTTAATGTCTCATATGAATATTTCCCTTTTGAATTTTGATATTGCTCTAATACTTATCCCTTAAAATATAATAGTTGGTAAGAAGACTTTCCTGATCCTTCTGATCAATACTCAGTTCTCTTGTGTTTAAAATTCTTTAAACACACATAGTCATATCTTCACTTTCAAGCAGATGATTATATTCAAGTCATATCAACTCTCTTACTGGTCATCTGCTATACTTAAGGCTCACCTGTTTGTGAAGATGTGTTTCATTAATTCAGATCTTTACAATGTGAGCATTTCAGGTCTCATAATCTTGTTTGGTTCCCTTGTGTTACTGCTGCAGTGCAAAGCAAATGAATCTTTAGATATGAAAAATCCAAGAGATCATGCAGTTCCCTTTGCTTCGGCAGTGCTCACTGGTCTATGGCTGATTGCTTGGCAGTGATTCAGTTAGAGAGTGAATGGGATGGAGGAAGAAGCCACTTCTCTTTAGTACTAACTGGGGCTTTATCTTATTCCTCAGGAACGTGATCAGGGTTCCTGGTGGGTTAGCATCCTTCAGCCTTGGGGTAGGAAGAAGACTGATATTGAGAGTATTCATGACACTGACTGTAGATTGAAAAAGGGATTTTCAAAGATAATGTTTGAGTTTGCTATGCCATTAATTTAAAGACAAAGCAGGTATATGGGGCAACTGTCAATGACAAGATGGTAGACAACGACAATACGGAACAGTCAGAAAATGTGGAAAATGGCTAATTTGAAAACTTGGCTGAAGAACTTCCTTTGTGAAGTTGTGAAGCAACATTGTAAAAAATAGAGGAAAAATAGGATGCACTCTATTCTTAAAAGCATACTGTGAGTTATTAAATGGGTGATGATATTATAACGTGAAACTAAAAAAAGATGAACATGTCTCTGACTTGACTGAAGGGGGCTCTCCAGTGGAGACTAAAAATATGTAAGAATATGAATTCTCCATGGCACAGATTTAATAGTGATATGATTACAAGAGTCACTGTAAAATAGTAGGAACTTTTCTATGTTTGTATGTTAAGGTATATTCTAATTTGTATTAGAATCATATACTAAACTTGCTTAAATGCATCAATGTTTCCCAATTCCATATTTTATGCCTTATAATAAATTATGACTCTCAAGTAGTTAGCAGTGGTTAACAATGTGCCCCTTTTCCACACTATCAGTTTTGGAAGAGGTAGTAAAAGTGATAGCTCACTCCAACATTGCAGAATGGATTAAGAAGAGGCTGAATTGGCAAAGTAAGCATTGTTAGTAGCAAGCTAATCATTTTACTCGGTACATTTGTGCTACCAAAAATTAAGACTTTCATTAAATTTCCTAATAAGTTTTAGGACTATGGCTATAACCTTTATGCTCTATCAGTTCAGTTGAGTTGCTCAGTTGTGTCTGACTCTTTGCAGCCCCATGAACTGCAGCACACCAGGCCTCCCTGTCCATCACCAACTCCCGGAGTTTACCCAAACTCATGTCCATTGAGTCGGTGATGCCATCCAACCATCTCATCCTCTGTCTTCCCCTTCTCCTCCTGCCTTCAATCTTTCCCAACATCAAGGTCTTCTCAAATGAGTCATCTCTTGGCATCAGGTGGCCAAAATATTGGAGTTTCAGCTTCAACATCAGTCCTTCCCAATGAACACCCAGGACTGATCTCCTTTAGGATGAACTGCTTGGATCTCCTTGCAGTCCGAGGAACTCTCAAGAGTTTTCTCCAACACCACAGTTCAAAAGCATCAATTCTTCGGCACTAAGCTTTCCTTATAGTCCAACTCTCACATCCATACATGACTACTGGAAAAACCATAGCCTTGACTAGAC